TCAATTCACTTTTTTTCGTTTATTCCACATATTTATGTGTTTTATCTCAATGTATGCGCTTTCTCGATATGCATTTGTTTAACATTTCATTACTTTTTAATTTATAACTTTACAGTTATTTTAAAAATACAAGGAAATACTGGATATTAATTAAGGTGAGTAGAAATTAATTTTAATTATCTAACTACTGTTATAAGAATATTTTGTTTTAGAGACTGAGGCATAGCAATATTGTTGCTTAACAAATGTACAATAAAAAAAATTGAATGTTCGTAATTTGAAATTAGAAAAAAATATTCGTTAATAGAGTGAACAATATAGTGGGTTGATTGTGTACTTCGAATATAAATAAAGGCGGTCAGTGTGAGCGGTCGACGTTCATCGCTCCCTAAAGGATGTTATTCAGTTTGTTTGCTTAACGCTACTTATGTTGACTCGAATTGGGCCGCCTAATTGTGGGCGCGTAGCTCGGTGGACGACCCGGGATTTACTATCGTTTTATACTCATACTAGTAGACGCACACTACTTTGTCCGTCCTTAAATCTATACAAATATAATAAAAAGGAAAAATTTGTATTTTGTATGTATTCGATTCATGTAAAATACTGGGCCGATTTAAAAAAAAATTTACCATTAGAAAGGTAATTTATCTGTGATTTACATAGGGTATATTTTTTTAACATACGGATGAAGTCGCGAGATACAGCTAGTACTGAGTAAAAGATAGAAAAACCTCAATTGAACTCTTATTCGGTACCTTTAGATTATAACAGAATTAAAATGCTTGAATCTGTCAGTATTTTTCCAATTAAACGCATCTTTTTTAATGAATGAGAGAGACAACGCTATATAATTCTTGCGTTACCATTTCTATAGTAAAAATCAACATTGCATATGTATGTATGTCACTATCAATTCACGATTTTTCGAATCAAAGTCACCAGGCCTAAAGCCTAAGTGTAAGTAGATTAAAAATCCCTTGGTTTTTGGTACATTATTTAAAAGTATGTACAAACAAACGACTAAACTTTTTTATCCAATAGCAATAAGGACAGTGATATACATGAGTTGTAGAGTTATAATAAATCTCCTCGGACTTTATATCTGAGCGGCGATTAGAAATAGCGATCGTATAGTCGCGATGCACCCGGTCCTACATTCGATTCCAGAATCGCTAGAGTTGTAAATTAAGTTGATTAATTGATACCAATAAAATCATGTTTGATTCCAAATCATTCCGTTTGTTGAGTGTATTTTTATAGCTATTATAATGATGTTGAATTCAGTAGCAGTTGGGAACGCCCAACGGGTTTATGAATTGCAGATTGGCCGTATTAATCTTGAAAGGATTATGATAAAAAAAATAATTTACAAGCAACTCGTAATTGATCTGTTTCATGATATCCAAATAGTCGCTGTTAATAAAAAGGTTTTTTTTTTTAAATCTTACTTCTTACTTATATTATAATATTAATGTGAAAGTTTAGACGGATAGATGGATGTTTGTTAGAGCTACCCTAAACGGCTGAAAGGTTCTGGATGAAATTTGGCATAGATGTAGAGCATAGTCTAGAAGAATACATACGCTACTTACTTTTTTAATATATCGCGGACGGAGTCACGGGCGTAAGCTAGTTTTAATATTAGTTGATTAAAACAAATGAAATACAAACAAACGTTTGTCCCAAGAATTTCATATTCGAGCATTTCACATTTGTATTCGCATAATGTGCTCCCAATATGTCGAAGTTGTTTGTTTTCACTCAAGAAAAGTGTTTGAGTTGGAATTTGCAGATTACACGATATATTAGAATATTATTTGGGCGGGAAATAAATGATTATAGTTATAATTCAGCGGGCGGTCGGGAGTTTGAGGTATTGCACGTGTGTGGTCGCGCAATATGTTCCGTGGCAAATCTTTTGATCCTATAGACGGCCGGTTTACACTGGCCGGTTCGACGCGCGCCAAACTATGCTGATTTATGTTCATCCGATGAGTACTTAGCGAGGCCCGTGTATGACAGCGCCGGAGATTACCCATTCACCTTTCTTAAACATAAATACGCATATGCAACAAATTACGTTGTGCTTTGTAAAGCGGTTAGGTTTTAAGAAGCATTTGGACTTAAATTTTGATTCAATATGTTTTTAAAAAGGTGGTGTTGAAACCTCAAATATTATTAACACATATCTCTTAATCAAAACAGTTTTATTATGATCATGTCAGCGATTCTTAAATTTATTAGTCGTTATGAAATTACTAGATACTTTAAGCGTTTCACAAAATGATGTAGGTATCCTTACGTTCCTGGTGTACCCGTCAGTATGAGCAGCCGCGCAGCACATGTTAAACATATAGATACGCAGCACGTTATAGAATGGGTAAACTTAAATAAATATCGAATAACATCACATTCGTTACACATCGATTCTCGTATCGAGTAAACAGAGGCGATCAGCGCGCAATGATAGCATCTATATCGGTTGGTGCGGATGGAGCACAGGTGTTAGCCGACAGGCAAAATAAACCGAGCCGTAATCGATTTTAGAGCTTTATGCTACAATCACACGAGGGTAGTACAGTGAGGTAGAACAGCAGGTCAGAACAGTACTGCTATTGTTTAATGTGACAACTGACATGTACTGTAATTTCAGTGATAGTACTGCATTGTGCCCTACTCTACCTCACTGTTCCGCCCTCGTGTGAAACTATTAGAGCCAACAATGCGCTTCAATTGATCGCTGTGTGTTCAGGCATTAACACGCGTGTAAGATTTATTTTCATATAATGTTGTTATATAAATAAAATTGGATTAACAATATAGATTATGCCAGACTGATTTTATCCAGACGGGGTTTGGTGAACTGGGAGTGTGTTAGACGTGTTCGTGGTTATTGAGAGCTCATTACAGCATCTAATGAGGCATAGATTATACAGGGCCTGACAGGGACCGGGAATGGTTTTAATTTACTACTGACATAACTGAGTACAGCACAGTTATTCGCAGACTTCAACATCAGTGTTATCGTTTATGGCGTTAGTGATAGGCAAATCGTAAAAAGGAAGGGAACCATCATTTTGTTCAGTGTCAGTTGTATGAGTATGTCAGTGTTCAGTCTTTTGAATGATTTGGGACCTTGGGATCAACCGTCTGATCTTAGTAGATCTTATAATAAATAGTAGGTAGTCCTAATGATACATGTGGTAGAAGCCGCGGCAGCTAATACCGATAGCTAATGTCTCTGGTACTATACCACGATCTCGTATAGTCGTGAAGTGATGTCAAATACTTATCCATACATTTCTAATTCTACTTTATTTAGTATATTTGTATTTAACTGAACGATTTATTTCACTCATGAACAGAATTATCATATCTTTCCACGGGACTGAGATTAAAGGCGTACAGTTTTCAATGTGGCTATCAAGTTACTGGCGCGAAGAAATGTAAACTAATTATTGTAATTACTATTAAAAATATACGATATATCCTTTCAATTGTTTAGATTATCTGTAGAGGTTTTAATTTTTTATTCTTATAACTAGCTTTCGCCGGCGTGGAATTAAAAACTAAGGAGAGTAGACCATGTTTTCTTCCAGACTATCCTCGACATCTGTACCAAATTTTATTAATTCTTTTTATTTTATTTTTTTAATCCGTTCAGGCTGCAAACTCTAACACACATCCATCCATCTAAACTTTTGCATTTATAATATTAGTATGATAAGAAATAGATGAATATATACATTTGTTACATGTAGAATTTTAAAAGTTGTAGAACCCGCTTTACATTTTCGCAGGAATGATCCGGCTCGCGTGGTGCAATAACACGAGACAGAAGACAGGCGTCAACTGAAAGCAGTTGCGCGTTTTGTATGCAGTGTGCGTGCCGGATTTCTAATCATAGTTCTCTTCTTCTTTCCACCCTCTTCCTACATAGGAAGGGAGGAAGTGGATTTGGCGATGGACAGAAAGCAGAGTTGTACAAAGGTAGGCAAAACATCTGTAAATGCTTATGGGCATCGGTTTCCCTTGCTCGTTTATTACCTTATACTAAAAAAGTAACAAACTATATGACTACATCAAAACATAGTAAATTGATTTTAAATCATTTTAATAGTTAACGCTAATAAAATACTTAATGTTGACATAAAATTCCCGTATATTAATAAAAAGCGTTGACGATTTTTTGTCGTTGGTAACATTTTTTAGCCGTAAAACTTATAAAAGTAGTAAAATTAATTTAATAACACTCATTTCTATCGTGTCGTATTAAGTTTCCTATCAAGTTGTGGGGCAGACGTGTTTAGAGTTTTTTAGTTATTAGACAACACAATCTATACTCTATACTATACTAATATAATAAAGCGTAAACACACATTTCTTTGTTACCTAAGATGTCAACAATCACAGCATATTTTCGAATATCACTTTTTTTAATAAAAAGCCCTACACTTTAATAAAAAATAAAAAACCTTACGAGGGTTAAGAAAACTTCCTTCTTTACATTTGTTTATTTTTTATAAAGCAAAGTAAAGTATGATTTTCTATTCGTAATAATAAAATAATGGAAAAGTGATGTTTAAAGGATTTCTTTTTGGTATTAGATGATTCCTGACCACCTGCGTCTAATTCGTAATATTTGTGTATTAAAAGTTTGTAAATACAAATTATCTAAATTCTAAAAGTTTCAATAAAAGCCCCTCTATGCACTCAAATTCAACGGACTCCATCTTGCGTGACGTAAGCGGCGCAGTAATAGTCGTAAAATTAAATCGAACTTGCGAAGTAATATAAAACACATTAAATGGGCAGTTTGTTGTAAACAAACCGCAGCCAGGCGTATATCATCAGCTAGTGTTCGTCAAGTGTTCACTCCATCACTGTACGCCACGCCCAACTGATACAGGCCAATCAGAGAGCTCGTTACGTCAAACACGCCTCCTACTTGCGCCTGCGCTGGTAAACCCTAAAGTTGTCAGTTTTGGTTGAACCTTGGTAGAGTGTGGACGGATTTGTGATGATGCGATGACGTCTGTCAGTAGTGATGTGAACACGAGTAAACTTAAGTTCAGTGTGGACAGTATTTTGGGGAACAATGATTCAGTAAGTCGTGTTGGCAGTGGGCCGGCTACGGAGTGTGCGCGTGCGCAGGAGCCGCCATGCGCCGGCTGCGTGGCCGCGCTATACCGCTGCTGCAGGGACGAGCCGCCGCTGCTGCAGCTGCCGCTCTCAGTGCCCTATGCACACTTACATCCGGCGCTTAGACCTACCACAGGTTTGCTGTTTTTTTAATCATAGTGTTGTGATAAAAAGAGGACGGATAGCACAAATGTACATCGCTTTAATTCCTATGAGCTTAAATTATGGAGCTGCGTACAGTACTCGATTTTTAGTTGTGCAAACAAATGTTGAATGGGCTGCAAAACAATCCGTTGTGCGATATTTTAGTCAAAGGTGTACGCCTTCTCTTCATCTATCAAAGATTGTCCCAAAGTTTGTTTTTAGTCGTAAAAAGAGTAAATCTGACAATTCTTTTCAATTTTTATTTTATATATCAAAATAACTGTAACTAAACAAAAATATAATTAAGCATTATCTTGAAAACAATCCTTCTAACATTTATCATTGAAACTAGAAACATTACAATGATAATCATAATTTCATATTTCAAGTAACCGCCTTTTTCATAAAAAGGACCACATTTTCTTTTTTCGTTCAAGTTTTTCCTGCGCATACGATTTTTTTGTCCCACATGAATTGAAAACTATGCAACCCTATAAAAAAAATCGCTATACACTATACATACTTACTGATATTCGATTTTGTAATAAATATCATAATTTATTTGAGCAACATGACTTTGTTGTTGGCATCATGTCGATATGTAAAAATATTTAGAAATCGTCAGAAGTATATTTTTATCTCTTATTAACGTCCGAAGTTTCGAGAACAAGGGATTCTCCAAACTAACGCAAAAGAAAAAATAAATATCGTTTGTTGAAAAGTTTTCCGGTTTTCAACATAAACATAACAAAATAAACAAAACTAAAACGTATTTTATTTTTTCTTTGATGATGTTGATTACTTTATGATTGATGATTAAATTAACTTGATCTACATATTGATTATGTTTGCCAAAATACAGAAATTATGAGGCTTTCATGAAAAATAAACTAAAACCGGCAAATGCCTAGAGCAAACAATAAGTCAAGAAGAAAAAAATTATATTATATTCAGTGCGCTACTATTTTACTATAAAATTAGCAAAATTAACCAAATACAAACCACCGTAACTAAATATACAGTCGTTATAACTTATTTAAAAATTATTCAAACCTACTTATATAAAACCTATGTAACCATCTTTCCCGTGTCTACCATGTATTTTTGTGCCTCGTTCTTAAAAAATATAGCATTTAATTTCAGATTTTTGAGTACATACACTCAATGTGTTTGTCGTATAAAGGAAATCCTTATACGTACGTAAAAACTAAATAGCCAATGCGTTCTTCCAAACTATCCTCTACATCTACGCCAAATTTGATTCATTCATCCGTTCCGCAGTTTAGGCTACAAACTGTAACAAACATCCGTCCATCTAAACTTTAGCATTTATAATATTAGTAAGAAATATGTTAAAGTATTACTATTTCAGTGAGATTTACTTATTATAATCGTTGTTATCCGTTTTTCGTTTATTTAATAAGGTCGAGATCAGGAATCCTGTTATTATTTATTACTACTGCCATCTTTATTCGGAGACATTAGACGCTCGTCGCGGCTTTATTACATAAAAATATTTAAGAAGAACATATTTACATTTTCCTAACTATTGCCATGTATAATTAGAGTAATACAGTTTGCTTACTATCAATATTTTCGACTATTCTGACATTCGACATTCTGGTGATCGTTAAAGATCACGGATCAACAAACCATTTGTCCAAAAAATGCTATTGTCTAATTAAATATTCCAGTATACAGACTGCCCCTTCCTCGAGCATCATCACCACAACAGACATCTTCTCCGCGCTGCGATGTCTCATCTAGTGGCAAGAGGAAGCGATCTTGGTCGCGCGCCGTCTTCAGCAACCTGCAGAGGAAGGGCCTCGAGCGACGCTTTCAGATACAGAAATACATCACGAAGCCCGACAGGCGCCAGCTCGCGGCCACTTTAGGACTTACTGATGCTCAGGTTTGTATGTATACAATTTAGTTTATGGTATCAAGGATTTAGTATAAAAAACTATCCGGTATTACTTATCATCTACCATAATTATTGTAACTTATGTACTTTACTTAACTTAGGACAAAGAACTTTAATAAATTGTTTCTGATAATGTAAATATGCACCCGTTTAAATTTATCAGTTTTGTGTATTTTTTTTATAACATAAGGTGGTAAACGAGCAAGCGGCCACCTAAATGGCAATCGAACGCTGCCTATAAACATCCGCAATTGCAGAAGCGTTGCCTACCCTTAATTTACGGAGGAGGAGACGCGCATAAAGAGGACATTTTCCCTTCCTATGCGTCCCCACCGTCAAATCCACTTTCTTTTCCCAGCCTTTCCTATTAAGAAAAGGGTGGAAAAGAAAAGGGACTAAAATTAAGCCTCCGGCACCACAGTCATCAGACGAAACGTGGAGTTGCTCCCACTTCACGCCTGTTTTCTGTGTGGTCGTGGTATTAAACCGTGCGAGCCGACCCGTTCGTGCGAAGATGTTAAAGCGGGTTCTACCACTGTTATATACTTGTTCTCTATTTTCCTACGTAATTGTGTGATTAAATTAGCTGTTATGTATAGTTATATAAAAAAAAAATAATACTACAATATTGAGTAGTAATCGAATGAGCGAAAAGGCCTAACGTATATCGTTTTATGCTCGACATCTTATACCTCTGCTAAACCAATGTTCATTATCGGTAGTTAATATCTCCGTCATGTAATGACCGGTCCTTTGAACAATTCTTTTGTGTTTTTGGTTCGATTAATTAATAAAACGCGTTTCTGAACTACGTCCTTTGAGTTAGCCTTTTAACTCATAGGTCACTCTAACACTAATGAGTCGTTAGGTAATGACAAAATAAGTGGCATATTCAGAAACCCAGCATTAGAGCTATAATTTTTAATATAGGTGAAAGTATGGTTCCAAAATCGTCGTATGAAGTGGCGGCATACGAAGGAGGGCCGCGCCGGGCTGGGCGGGAGTTTGGGCGCCATCAAGGACCCTGATGCCACCCTCATCCCCGAGGACAACGAAGACATTGACGTCGACACTCTTAGCGACTAGAAGTAGACTTGTTATAATCATTGTAAGTTTATATGCAATTTGATAACATAATAGAGGTACAGAACTTGTACTATAAATACAATTTTTGCGCAGTAGTTGCTTGCAGAAATGCACTAGTGGAAAATGGTCGTTATGATATTAATAAATAAGAAATTATATGTCTGTAAATTGTATATTTTTTATAATTAAACTACATTTTATTTAGAAGTAACATACTTAGATTAATTCAATAACTGTACAGTAACTAGGGCTTCCAAAACATTCGCCTTGTGTAGACAAAACCAACATATTAATTTAAGAAAAGGTTTGGTATATTCATGTCTACTTTTAAATATTTTATTGACATGGACAAATTGATTCTAAATGATATTTTAAAGAGATTTTATTTTAGATACGTTTTTATATTAAATTAATCTGTATATTAAATATAGTTAAATAAAATTTAGTCAGTACTGACAATGAGTTTTATTTCGGTTTATCAAGAGTTTACCAATCACCATCACCCTACCCTTTCCCTGCGAAAGGTTGGCACAGTGTTGGTACCTACATTACTTTTCCATACATCTCACATTAAAATTCACTCTCCTTTACGCATATCTTCTATCACCATTCCGTGTATACTTTCTTCAATATTCTACCATTGTACATCCACATTTATTACTTTCTTTATTGTGATAACTATCTTATGCCCGCGAAGCCGTCCGCGTGGAATTAAAAATGTGTAGCCGGTGTCCAGACTATCATCTACATCTATATAGGGGACAATCAATCAGTACCTAATTAATATAGTATAGAGAATATAGCGATATTCGATTATGTACGACTGTAGTACTAATAAGTATTTTTTCTCATTACCAGTATTGGTTCTGGAGGTCATTATTGATTTGAGAAGTGTTTTTTTTATATATTCATTACTGATTAATTGTCCCCAAAATTAGTTAATAAGTAAATAATAATTTTAGTCGAGTTCCATAATTATTTAAACCGAATATCGATAGTTCATAATTGTTCACTATGCATGTTTGTTTCATCACTACGATACATGTCAATTATGTACATGCATAGGCCTTCAATTTAATTCGATACTTCATATGCGCCATTTATCAAACTAATCTTTCTTATTTAGACAAACTATAGTCTATATATTTCTTAAATATCTGATCTGCTTAAATAGTGATAGTGAAAATCAAGTAATGGACGAATGATTGAAAAACAAGCATCTGGTTTAATATCATTTAATTATAATAAAAATAATAAAGTTCACTATTACTTACTTTTGTGTACAATTTAAGTTTCTAAGCTATTTACAACTAATGATTTTTATTGAAATTCAGTTTCTCTAACCTAATCATATGCAAAGATTTCAATTTTAAACTATCATACACTGAATAAATTCAGACAAACATTCATTTGAAATATTATTATAACGAAATGAGTCTACTTTTAAGAAGAGTAGTACATTATGATTAATATTACATATTTTTCTCGTGTACAATTCAAAATACGCCTCAAATTTCAATATTGTTCTTAGTAATCATATGCAAAAGGGGAATTTTAAATAATTCTGAAAAAAAAAAATAGAAAATGAAATCGTTTATCTCAAGGATTGACTTCAATAAAATGGACAAACAGTATATTGTTTTTCTTAAGTTGCCACAAATTAAAAATACATTAAAACTCTTATTCAATAATCTACAAGCTTAACTTTATTTTTACAATAACTTCCCGCGCTTTCTTTCTCACTTTTACAATAATTTCCAGAAGCTTCTCTGTCGCCATGTTGGTACTGCGGCGGCCATTGCGAAGTTCCTTCGCCGTGGTATTTCGGATCTCTGTAATTTCTGAACTGAGGATTAAAAGGTCTTCTTCTATCTTCATAACCTTTATCTTCCCATCTATTATCATTATTTTCAAAACGATTAAATTCAGACCGTCCATGTTCTCTATACCTATCATATCTGTTGTAATTAACTTTATTTTCCTCGTATCTTCTATCATATTGTCTGTGATTTTCTTCCGTATTTTCTTGATATCTCCTTCGTATCCTCTGGAAGTGGGAATTATCACCGATTTCTTGTGCTCTTGCTTTAAATGCTTGTGGTGTAACTTCTTCGGATTCCCAAACTGGTATCCGTTTGGGTTTTGGTGATTGTGATTTTGACCTACTGCGATCTCGTTTCTTTTCATCTGGCGATCCTCTGTAATAAATACATCATGTAAAATATTTTGTATAAGATAAACAAATTGTTAGCATTTAAAGGGGATCCTATAGTTTATTCTTCGTTAATAAATCCTGTATTTAATTTCTCTAACTACTCACCTGCTATTTTCTACCAACTATTAAAAAGCGGCGATACAACCCGAAGTCGCAGCTTCACAGCAATACTAAAAATATCTAAGTATGGCAATTTCTCTTCCAAACAATACTCTTACATTCAATGTTTTGCAGTTTATTCTTGTATTTACAATAAAAGCTTTGTTAGTGTATTAAATTTGTAATAAACCTATTAAATAAAATAAAAAGCGAAGATAAAGCGCCTATAGAATAAAAAATAATTCTAATAGAATGCAATGCATAAATTACTTCACATTAATTCAATGATTTTTTGACCCCATCTCGTTACAACTGATATTTTGAGACTACCCTACTTAGTGTGATATCACATAATTCAATGTTGCCATAATTCATGATTGAATGGTAACTATACCCTATTTACATTTTTATAAAAAAATGAAATCAATAGATTTCTTAATTTTTTATTGTTATCAGAGTGCGTACTTTGACTAAACCGTCGCAACACTGTTCAGTCTCGTTTCAATTTCTATGAAAGCTCATATAAGCATATGGAGGTGCGCACACTATCCGATATTTAGTTGTGCAACTAACAAGTTGAATTGTCTGCGAAGCAATTGAAAATCGCACAACTATCGTGCGATAGTTTAGTCAAAGGTGTGCGCGTGCTCTAAAAATATTTGATACGTAGAGATATAATTTTTTTTTTATTTTGATAATGTGATAATTTGGATTTCCCATCCTTCCCCTAATGTGAGGTAATTTACGCTGCTACGTTTATCTATGTATAATTTCAAATAATACAAAGAAATGTGAGGCAAAACGACAAGAATACCTGGAGGAGGAACCGCTGCGACTCCTGTCGGAGCGGTCGTCGCTGGAGCGCCGGTTCTGCAAATGGCGGATCTCGCGCTGCCTGCTCAGTGCGCAAACATACACAACTAAATAACCTACGTCACATTGACAAATCATATCGCAAAATAATACACCGAATTTAAATAAAAACACATAATGTACAAAACATCAAACGCTACCTTCATATTAGAAAAACATACATATGTCAAATTCAATTGTGTGAGAATTTTCTCTTATAATTAACAATTATATGTATGTTGTATGTTTTTTATAGAAAGAAAAATGCTTCAGAACATCGTGAGTCATGGGAGCTACATGCCCGGTGTGTCGGGCTCAGGGCCATATGTGTTAACCTAACCTAGCATGACTCCCGGTACCGACTAAACAACCCTCTCTATTGAGTATTTGAGCCCCCACAGTACTACCATCAAGTATAACATCGTAGGAGTGATGACAGCAATTATGATTTTCATACTAGCATTGTGCGTTTCAGCCCATGAGCCCAATATATTGGTTCTAGGTACGATGCGTGCGTATGTGTGTGCGTGCGTATGCGTGTCTGCGCGTGTGCGTGTGTGTGTGCGTGCGTATGCGTGTCTTTGCATGTGTGTGTGCGCGTGTGAGCGTGTATACATGTATGCGCCTGCGTGTATGTGTTTGTGCGTGCGCGCGTGTGCTCGTGTATGTGTGTGTGCGAGAGCATGTGTGCGCGCGTGTATGTGCGCGCCTTTTTGTGTGTGTACGAGCGCAAGCGCGCGTATGTGTGTGTGTGTGCCAGTGCGTGTGTGCGTGTGCGTGTGCGTGTACAGACTTGCGGCGCAGCTTGATGACGAGGTCGCGCATCTCCTCGTCGCGGCGCGCCTGCCGCCGGCTCTCGCGCTCCGCTCGCTCCGCCTCCGCGCGCTTGTCAGCACGCACTGAACATTATATCACATTAGTAGCTTTTTTTTAAAAAAAAAACATTAGATGTAATTTACTAGCTGTTTCCTCTGCATATTTATCAACAGGAAATAAATCTTAACTATGTTTACATTTATAAAATTTAATGAAAATGTATAAAATGACATTGGAAATCTTCTTCATTACTACTTTTGCTTTGTAGTTTTTGGCTCTTTTCCGCAAGACCGTTTTATCCAATTTATTTTACCCCTTGGTTTAAAAGCGTAAAAATATATAGTCTATAACGGTTCGTTCTTATATGACTTTATTGAAAAAAGAATTATTAAAATATATACAATGTTTGCTGACATCCTATATAACAAAGTGTGTTTATTATATTAGTATAGAAGTATAGATATAGAAAACGTTTAGGAAAAGAAATAAATGTAATGTTAAAACTCACACTGCTTTGATAATTGAGCTTGCATTTTCCGTTTTAATTTCTCTTTCAATGTAAGAGTTTCACGCGACGTGCCCTGTAAAAAAAGTTATGTTAATAGATATTTCTGTGGATAAAAGAACCAATCTGGTTCTTATCTACATACATCTTATTACATATACATAAAAATAATAAAACAAACAAGATAGAGAATTTTATAAATAATGTTATTTAAAAGTAATTGTTATTCAATGTGTTAAATCTTCAATCTACTACAGGATGTTCCAAAATTCATTTCCGTCCATTTTGCTTTGAAATTCGGGACATCCTGTATAAAACATGATTTACTGTTGCATTGAATAATTATACAGTAAAGACCATCAGTGTAGATTTGTCATACTAAATACACTAAGGGAAACTATAAATGATTTGCAGCATTTGCAGGTTCGTGTCGAGAGTGAGATAGATGTATAAATGAAAGCGTACAAAATGTAGGAGCAAATGATTCTTACTGACTTTGGTGCTGCATCCAGACAATCGTAACTGATTCTGGTTTGTGTTTGACTTATTGCCCGTTGATCTGAAATGTAATACAAATCATCATTAAGACGTTACAATACAATGTTATAACATAAATTACTTCTTTACATTATTTTATGTTAATGATTTATAAAAAAATAAACTATTTTAACTTCAACAAAATTAACTTTTACTTCAAGTTAATTTGAGCATCAAAACTAGTAATGTGTGTTAAGGTTGTAATTTTGATGACCCCCAACTAGAGTTTTCACCTTTAATTGATGAAAATATGAAATTCTGATGACCCAAACTAGAGCTTCAACCTTTAATTGATGAAAATGTTGAAATGTTGATGACCACAAACTAGAGCTTCAATCATTAATTGATGTAAATGTTGAAATGTTGATGACCACAAACTAGAGCTTCAACCTTTAATTGATGAAAATGTTGAAATGTTGATGACCACAAACTAGAGCTTCAACCATTAATTGATGAAAATGTTGAAATGTTGATGACCACAAACTAGAGCTTCAACCTTTAATTGACGAAAATGTTGAAATGTTGATGACCACAAACTAGAGCTTCAACCATTAATTAATGAAAATGTTGAAACTTTGATGATCCCAAACTAGAGTTTCAATCTTTAATTGACTAGTTTACATAAAAAAGTAGAAAGAATGAGAAAGAAATAAGAAAGAAAGAGAAGAAACTCACTTATGTTTGTCATCATCGGAATCACTAGATCCAGAGTCAACGGAGAGTTCACTGGAAGACTTGTCCTCTTTACGTCGCCCGTAGTACCGCGCCACTGGCTTACTGTCACCTTTGTCGTTACTACAACAGTAATTATCTATTAAAAATACAACTAACTCAAATATATTATACAAGTGTACAAGTCAAACATCTATTGATAGACTTACACTTCAGTTACATAAAATAAATAAATTCAGCTTACCTTTCATATGACATCGACCTCGAATTATTACGGTTCATATTACTGCAAGAAGCCAGAATATACTCTGTTAGTTGTAACTAAGTATAGATTGGTTTTAAACTATCTTTTTTATTTTCTTTTGACTTGATGTTACTTAAATATTAATTCAGCTGTAGTCTTCTTAAATAATGTACTTAATATAATTAAATATAAAATAAAAATAAAAATAAAAATAAATCATAGAAAATACTTATCTAAGTTTAAATTTTAAAAACTAGGTAAAAAAAAATATTCTTTAGTATACGTCTACGATTCTATAAAAAAAAAATACAAACTTCGTAGGGCTGCGGGATCGTTTATTCCTAAAGGTGCGGGACTTCGACCTTGAGCGCGACCTTTTGTATGAGCTGTAGGACCTTGAGCGTGACCTTGATGTGGATCTTGAACTCGGGGAAGTAGATTTCGAGCGAGACTTCCTGTAGGAGCGCGATCGAGACCTTGACTTTGAGCGAGAGCTGAGGCGAGATCGTGAGCGAGATCGAGATCGCGATCGAGAATATGATCTCGATCGCGATCTCGTCTTAGACCTCGCATCTGGTCCGCGCGGCCCCAGCACCGGCCTCGGGTACTTCTCTGCTAATGGTGAACTGAAAAACATTGTACACTATTAAATTGAAAATTTTTAGTGTAATAAATATGCTCTATAAGGCTGTGATCAATCTTAAAAGAAAAATGATGGTTTAGATAGGATTGTTATAATTTTTCATTTCTATTGGATTAGACCTTTTTTTTTTTTGTGTCGGGGGAAATCTTCAAAAGATACCTAGCCTACTGGGGGGGTAGGCAGGGTTATGTAGGATTTGACCCCCTCAGTAGCCATTCTCTACTGACATTGACGAAGGTTTCGGGATCTCCAAGGAACACACCGAAACCTTCGGCACTCAAACTCTCCCTGTGGCTCCACGATGTTACGACAACATAGGACCACTCTAGTTTACCGTCTTCCTGGAATCGTTTTGATAGTCTATCAGGGCCCCCACCCTGATCTACTATGACCTCAGGGGTCCCTTTGGTCGTTTCACGGATGGGCCAATCGTCTATTATAGCCCGGAATTAGAGGGACTGGAGCGCATTCCTTGTCGCCTTTGCCTCCGAGCAGCCTTCTTGGACCTATGTGATCAATATCAATTGAAATCTTACCTTGCTTTCGACGGTTTCCTCGCTACCTCTGCATAAAGTTCCGTCTTCTTTAGGTTTTGTTTCAATTTATCTACATACAGCGGCTTCTGAGGCTGTACTGTAAAAACAAAAATAAAATCGTTACAATTATTGATTAACCAGATTGTTGACACAAGATCGTGTGTAGTCAAGTAATTATTTTTACTTATATGTGTAATTTTGAAGTATCCATATTTATTTATTGACTAGCTTTCGCCTGCGACTCTGCGTGAAATTAAAAAAAAAACAAAAGCTAGTACCTAAATGTTATTCAAGACTATCCTGTAAATCTATGCCAAATTCCATTGAGATTCATTCAGCCGTTTAGGTGGAAAATTCTAACAAACATCCATACATCCATTTAGATGGATTTAGTTTATAACTTCGCTTATACAATACGAATTTTTCAAATCTGTTAAGTAGTCTTTGAGTTATTTCAATACATACAAAAATCCAAAAATACGAATCTCTTTATAATATTAGTATAGATTGGTAAGAAATAAGTTGTCTTACGTGGTTTGTCTTCATCGTCTCCACCGAATGAGGTGATGAACTGTATGTTGTCAGCGGGCGAGGGGGAGCGCGACGGGGAGCGGGAGGGGGAGCGCGAGGGCTCGCGCGCCACCTCGCGAGGACGCGGCGCCGCGTAGCTCGGCGGAGACACTACTCGTGTTGCCAACTTCTTGTCTCTGAATATCACATATAAATACATTTATTTTACCTCAATCTACTCTTATCTTTATTATTCTACTCTTGACTACTTAGAAAATTGCTGCTGTCTTTTTTTTAACTAATTGCACAATAAAGGAAACCAGAGTTTTTTTATATCATAAAGTGGCAAACAAGCAAGCGGGCCAAATTGGGGAAGCAACCACCGCCCATAAACATTCACAATAGCGGATGCATTGTCTACCCTTAATCGAGGGAGGAGATGCACATATAGAGAGTGTTTCCTTCCTTTCTGTGCATCTCCTCCACCGTCATATAACGTAGATATGCCCCGTTCCATCCTATGTTAATGAGAGAAGAAGCAAGAAAGAATAGGGTCTAAAGCTGAGTCTCCAACAGCACCCTCATCAGACTGTATGTTGGAATTGCTCCCACTTCATGTCTGCCTTCTGTGTGGTCGTGGTATTTCATCTGGCGAGCTGACCCATTCGTGCGAAAATGTTAAAGCGCACTTTACCACTAAAAACTAACTAAATTCTAAATCATAAGTGTTAATTATAAATATGTCATACTAACCGATGCGCTCGTCTCTCCCTTCTGCTTTTCCTTCCAGAATACATAGCTTTTTCTTTCTCCTCTCTTAAGAGTTGTTTCTGATGTTCCGCATCATCCGCATCTCCGGTGAGGAATGAGAACAGATCACATCCCGCCATACCAAACAGTGGACCCACTGAATTCAACTCGTGTGCCTGTGCTCACACAAATATACTTTTAATACTCTGATTTGATGTGATTTGTCTAACATATTGAATAAAAACAAAATACATATGTATTACAATAAGATTACAATATTACACAAATAAGAATAAAGGGGCTTGGAATTAATTTTAGTATTAAAAACGATGACTTTCAAAACACAGTAGAACCTCGATAAGTTAAAGTCCTAGGGAAACACAAAATACTTTAAGTTATAGAGATTTTATGTTATCAAGGGTCTATGTTGTAGAGGTTTCGGCCTCTGATGGGAAGGGAACATATAATTTTTTAAAGTTATAGAGGTTATTAAGTATAAAAAATTATTACAATGCACAAAAACATGGATTATATGGGTAAATGGCTTATTTTTTTTAAATATACAAGTTTTGCATTACATGATGGGAAAAAGAAGTTTTTATGTTCCTTATTAACGGAAATTAGCTGACCTGTGAGGGTTCCATCTTGTTGACATCAATGCTCAAATCAACATCGATAATTTCCAAATCTGATTCATCATCGGAATCTTTAGCTTCCGCTTGTTTTATCTCAGGGCCTGGAATTGAACACTAAATGCCATAAGAATACCCTCATACAGTAACAAATGCTTATCCCATTAGGTACCCATTTACATCCTTTTATCAACGCTGATTGAGGTTTTAAATAAGTAGGGCTGAATCTACCATTGGAACTAGATGGTTCTGCTCCTGGGTCACTATAATTGTAGGCTATAGCAGCACCCATCCCTTTCTTTTCACCTAATTTTTCTTTTTGCATCTCTTTCTCATCAATGGTGACACCAAATTGTTCTTCTATGGCTAATTGTTGTAAGAATTTGTCTTCACCTGGAAATAACATTTTTTGTTAGCTTTTCTGACTAGAATAGTGCTACTTATGCGACAATTAAGTAAAAATACTTCAGTACTAGTTTTTTTTTCCTTTTCAAGAAAGGTTATTTTTTACAAAGTAGGTATAGTGGTAAATTGTGCCACCAATGATAGGTTTCACTAATAAATTTTCACTTTTATTTGGATTAAGAAGCAATTAGAGGAAGATTCTTTGATTTTGTAAATATTAATGTGATACATACTTATTCCTAAGAATGCATTTTGTGCAAGAATTCTATATCTTTCATAGTTGCATTGCCTTTCTTCTTGTTCAAGTTCATCTGGTGGTATGTCTGGAATTTTTACTTCTGGTATGTGGTCCAAGTGAGCTCTTACATCAAATCGGTCTATCATATTACTGCCATCACCTTGCCATGGCATCCTGTAAGATTTTATTATTTAAATAGAAATAGATCTGTCTGGATAACAAAAACACTGTACACTACAATATATCTTTTACACAATTAAATGTTAACTCACATTATAGCAGGCCCCTCCCCCGCTGCAGCAATAGCAGGATCCAAATGTATTTTACACGGACGCCCATGAAGTTGAAGAAACTGAGTAGGTTCAGCTTTCTAAAAAGCACAAAAGTAATTTTTTATCGAAGACAATAATAAAGTAAACAATTCAATAAATAAGATCAATAATTACAATTTTTTCATAGAAATCTTTACGCCGCTCCGCTCTACGTTGGTAATCCACAATCAAACCCCGGATCAATCTTTCCTGCTTACGAGCTTCGTGCCACATTTTACAATATTACTTTTAGTAGCGACACCAAGAACGAAGATTATTTAGATCTGATTTTCACTAACAAAATAACTATTTACTTGAATTACATTTGCATTCAATTTCATTTATGACAAATTCGCCATTTTTAATTTTTAGATTTCACCGCCATAGAGCATGTAACCACGAGAGGATAAATTAAATTAAAATAAAAGAAAACCATGCTCTATGGTAGGCTGGGGTAAATAAATTAGTATGTCAAAATATGGCTTCGAATTTGGTAAAATACCATTTATTTTATCTTATTTGAATATCATTTAAATTTTTCTTCTCAAGACAATACTCGTCGACTGCTTGCGCTGTCTCTTTAACCGAAAACTGATACGACAGTATTTGTGAGGATAGTATGCTTTAGAACTTAAGAATACTTTTATTTTAGGATTTCCTATTAAAATTAATTAAATCACAGGGAAGTGATATTCAAAATCAGCCTATCTAGTAATTGACAAATACTAGTAAAGGTGGTTGATAAAATTAAAAAAAATATATATGAAATTATTTATTATTATTATTTCACAGTATAGAGAAATATTTCACTATTTATCTCTGTATCAAAAAAAACTTCATTTTCAATTTGATATGGTTTGCAAATTGTTAACCATTCCATAAATTCTTCAAAAATATCTAAGTAACCTAAAGTATCGGCCATACTTCTGTTAGTTACAATAAAAGTGCCTTTCTTAATATGTTTCTTAAAAAAGTACCACATTTCTTTGTGTTTTTCAATATCAACAAAAAAATCAAGAACATTGATTACAATTACATCAGATAATTCAACAATATCATGTGTCTCCATAACATCAGAATGAATAACTTTTATTCTATTTCTATCCATTGAAAATTGACTTATAATTTTCTCTTGAATATCACAGCATTCCTTGTTCATTTCTATTCCAATTATTGAACTTGCATTTGAGAAGTGATAGGCCTGAAATTAAGTTACACATATTTAATTACACATAAAATAATAGCATCACATATAATTTAAACTATTAACATTTTTCACACTTACTCCATATAAAACTGCTCCAAGTCTTGACCCTACATCTAATAATCGTTTACCTTCTAAGTCTGCAGGTAATAAAACATTAAAGATATATTGCAGAGTTGGTCTGGACATTGAATGTGAAGTATAGATCAATTCCTGAAAGTAAAACAAAGTTAACCCAATCAATTTTAAGTTTAAATTATATCAGACTAGCTTTCGCCCGCGACTCCGTCCGCGTGGAATTAAAAAAAAACAAAAGTGAGTAGCCTATGTGTTCTTCCAGACTATCCTCTACATCCATACCAAATTATACATATATAATACTACAAACTCTAACAAACATCTATCCATCCATCTAAACTTTCGCATTTATAATATTAGCAAGAAGTAAGAAGTAAGATTACATTAAAAATATTACCTTGATGTTTCTGGAGTTACAATCAGTACAATAGTGTTTTTTTAGCTTTCCACTTTTTACCAGGTCTTCAACTTCTTTTTCATCATATATAAACTCATCTATATGGCATGTGTTAGCTTCAGTGCAGTCAGCCTGGTCTCCAACAACGGGAGGCACTATGTTCTCTGATGGCATTTCTCCTTCAAAAGGCACAAGCTTCTTTAACTTCATACCAATTTTAATTAACTTGTCCTCTTTACTATCAAGATCTTTTTTAAATTGTAAATCTAAAATAATAAAAACATAGGTAAAATTTTTGATTAACATGTTAAGTAAACATGATAATTGAAATATTAGAATAGAAACCTTTTCTATAAGCACGAGACAAAATCCAGTTTTCGACTACATCTAACTGTGTTTCATCTAAGTTTGCAAATAGTTCCAAAAATCGAAACTTTATATCAAGTACATCGCCTTCTGACATGTTTAGTGTAAAAAGCGTTAACAGATTTAAATAAAAATAAACGTCATATAAAACTTGAAAACTTTGCACATGTAATGAAAGAATATAAACTAAAATATGCTTATTTTAATAACCTTAAATTAGAGTAAAAGCATACATAAACAAAGTTAAAGGTTAGGTTGACAGTTGACATTTCACCAACGACATAAGTAAGACACAGATTATATATACCTGTAAAATAACCGTTTTATTTGCTATATCGTTCGCCACATTCTAGTTTTTTTTAAAAACATTTAGCTCTAGGAAAATTTCTATGAGCATCACAGTTCACTTTTCACTTCACAGTTTATTGCAACTGATATAGGCAAATCGCGAAATCTTTTTTGGTGGTTCCATGATTTGTGTTTCACAAAAGTAACTATGTTTAACTGCTATCCGTTATAACTATATAACTGTTAATTTAGAACAGCTTTTATCGGCTGTTTTCGTTGTTGTTTTCCGCCACTTCCAGCCACTTCGCGGAAAAATAAAATAAACTCGCACCATTTCGCAGATCGTAGTTAAAGTGAGTTCTTACTTGATAGTTTTATTTATAATTATCTAGAGATTTAATGATTTCTTACTAACAATCAAATGGTTGAAGGATAATTTTCATGTTTCGTACATGAAAAAACTTACATTTTACATCCAACTAAAAAGTGTGCTGTATTTTTGACTGTCGGATTAAAGTTAAACAAATCAGGTAGCAGGATGAATAATAAACAAAGTATCTGTTATAAGAATATTGGGATATGGATATCAGAGAAAAAGAGTCAAAAGCTAAACTGGAAGGAACTAATTAAAACTTGTAATTCACATGGTTACAACCTTATCAAGGTATTTATAATTATGTATATCGTATTATTTTAACTTCTGTCCTAATGATCGGTCTACTTTTTCGAATTTATATTTATGTGACAAACATTTTTATAGTTAGATTTGGAAAAGCCTTTGGAAGATCAAACGGAGTGCGATGTTTTTCTTCATAAATTGACCGACGTTATAGCCGCATCTGATCAAGGAGATTTAAAGGTACTATTGTGAATTTATTAATTAAATATTACGTCATTTAAAGTGACTAATAACATGATGACTAAGTTTGAGTACTGAAATTTTAACTTTGTAAAAACTCACATAGTTTTCCTAATGTACTTTATTTTTGCAGGCTCTTCACATCATTTGTAATGTACAGCAGTATCTATCAAATCATCCAAATACAACAGTAATTGATCCAATTAATAATGTAAGAATCTTGCTGAACAGGTAAGAGTAATGGAAAGTTCAATTTCTTATTCATGATATTTTAGTGATAAGCCATATTGTACAGCAACCATTACTAGAATCAGAATAGAGCACAGTTTGGTGACCGCAGAGCTGGACGGAGAGGGGTAACAAGCAATTTTCACAGTCTCATAAACCTTTTAAGCTTTAGCCCCAACTGTATCTTAAAAAGGGAGTGCCTAACTACTAAGAAGGTGTCATAGAAATTTTGACCATGGTGCTGTTATGCTAAAACCGGAACTGATTGCAACAGATGTTGGTTATTAGCATAACACATACTTTTGTTTAAATGTTATATTTAACATTGACCCATTCATTTCCAGACATTGCTATTATTCTATATTACAAGAGGAATTATCACTTCAAAGACATGGAATATTTACACCAAATTTTGCTGAATTCAAGACATGTAATGTTGAACAAAACATTGAGATTATGAGGCAATGGGGCGTTAAGTTTCCTGTTATATGTAAACCGACAATTGCACATGGTTCAAAGTCTGCTCATGAGATGGTTCTTATTTTTAACAAAAAAGGTTTAAATGCCTGCAAACCTCCATGTGTGGTTCAGAGTTTTGTTAATCATAATGCGGTTCTACATAAAGTTTTTGTGGTGGGAAATAGGTAAGTTAGACATTTAACACCTACTAAATATGGGTATTACTAAGTAATTTTGTTAACAATAATACTTCCTAGACATTGTATTTTGTTAAAGGGAAGTAAATGAAGGTTAACCACAATGGTTAAAGTTTTTTTAGGATTTATTGAAGTAAAAAGTTTGTTTAAAAGTAAGTTGTATTATTTAAGTTGCTGGCAGTTAACATGTTCTTTGTGATGTATATCATCATCATCATAATCACCAGCTCACTATATGTCCCCACCGAGGAGCTCGGAGCCTACCCTAATATGGGATGACTAGGCCATAGTCAACCACGCTGACCAAGTTCGGGTTGGTTGACTTCACACATATCTTTGAATTTCTTCGCCGATATGTGCAGGTTGCATCACGATGTTTTCCTTCACCGTAAGAACGTCGGGTAAATTATGTACATATGAAAATTCGAAAATTTGAAAATCACATTGGTACATGGCGGGATTCAAACCAAGACCTGTAGATTTCAAGTCAAGTGTTCAAACCACTGAGCCACCGACGCTCTCGTGATGATGATGATCTCGTGATGTATAATTTGATGTTTATTTTCTTCTATTTGTTTGTACTCCTATTTGTTCTTCTATTTGTTTGTGGTTTTTTAATTAATGATTACTGTTACTTCCAGATACCACATATGTCAGCGGCCAAGCCTTAAAAACTTTAACGCATCAGACGATTTAGAACCAATATTTTACACAACCGGTGAAGTTTGCAAAGCGGATAGTCGGTCAACTTTATCTATATTAGATCCACATGATAAGCCTGATATTAAAATGAATCTCGATGAGAATAAAATCAAACCAATCATAAGGTTATTAAGAGAGAAAATTGGCTTACTGTTAACTGGTTTTGATGTCGTCATAGATAATGCAACAGGTAACCACGCTGTTATAGATATTAATGTTTTTCCTAGTTATGATAATTTTCCAAATTTCTTTGATCACCTTTTAGATTGTATTGATGAATCTGTTAATAAAATGTCTAATGGAGATATTTATACGAGTTTGAGTGATAGTGGAGACGATTACTGTTGTAATCGTATTTCAAATGGTTTTGTTAATGTAGGTCAAAGTACAAATAGGTTAAGTGTCAGCGGAATGAATATAAATTGATATATTTAATTGATTTATTGAATGAACTGCCATTACAATATTATATTAATTTTAATATTACTCTTATTGTGAATAACACTGGTATATTTTTTGTTTATTTAGTTCTCAAAGAATAAGAATGTGTTTTGTAAACTTCTTTGTGGTTTATGTTTACATTTAGATATAGGTACTTAATCTTTGTTGTAAAATTACAGGAGTAAATATTTTGTAAATTAAGTACTTCCATATATGCTTATGGTTCAAAGATAAATTAATGTTGTGCCAAAAGTCACTTTTGATTGTGGATGCTAGAAACTTGGGAAAAACGATACTTTTATTCTTTAATAAATATTGTAGTTAAAATGTAGTTTGCATCTAGTAAACAAAATTTTTTAAAGTTTGTAAATGTAATAACTATTTGCAATGTCTATACATGTAAATATGCCTTGCTAAAATGCATGCATAAGTTTTTATTTCTAATTAGATTTTTTTATAGCTTAAGAAGTACATATTTGTAAAATTATTAATTGAAATTACATATATTTGAATTTTTGAGCTTAAAATAATAAAATATGCGCACAAGAATACATATGTGCAAGTATATGTTTCAATGGATGTGAGTTTTTGTACAAGTTTTATCATTTTTGTTATTGTATGAAATATTGCTTTGTGAACAACATTTAGGACCTGTCCCACCACTGACAGATAGATGCTCAGATAGCTTAATAGTGACGTCACTGTCAGATAGAGTACCAGAATTCGATATTTCCATCACATATTTTATATGTTAGATTGTTATCTGAGAATTTACAAAATTTGTGGGAGGGGCTCTAAACTATCTATTCTAGTTTATGGTAGTACTGAAATACACTTCAACATTATGATTATCAAATTACTTATTGTTTTAATAAATCCGATTATACTCCAATTATCGTTACATTTTTTTTACAAATTCTTGTTATATTAAAGTTATAAAGATTAGGGGAATAAAGACGAGAGTATGTCTTCGTCTGAATGAAAAAAAAGGACTGTAAATAAATATTGTCTTTTTCTGTGGCATTTAAGGTTGGCAACATTTATTATTGTTAATTGATCTGGCAATTAAATTTAGATATATGCTTAATGTCTAAACATTCCATATAGCAATATCGGATGTATTATTTATCTGAGACTGATTTTTCAAGTTTTCTAGTTTTAAGACTTAAGTGCTGTTATACACTAATGTTATTCTAATGTATTATGTATTCCTATTATATAAACTGTGTGCTCTCTCACAATAAACTGTCATGAATGTAGCATACTAACTTTTGTTTGCCTATAACATTGTATACATAAGTTCTACAATTATATATTTTTACAAAATTAAAATGTTTCATTTATTACATGCTCTGTTTTATGCAAGTGTTTCGGTAATTCAATTTAGCTTTTATCTGTTGAGGTTATTAAGGTTTAATACGCAAAGAATAGAAGTATTTTTTTACACTTTTAGTAACATCGACAAAAGACAGTATGCGGTCGCTTAAATATTACACGGTCTGCGACAACAGTTACGTTCGTCATGCGTAACGTTAAAATGGGCAATTGTTATTTCGATACACTCGCGTGCATAAATCACATCTAGTTGCAGAAGTACAATTTATAACGCATTACGTGAAAACATCCGCAACACTAGTGCAGCGTCTCAGGAAGTATAACCGTATCGCGAATCTAATGTTCCAAGATAGTCTATCGCCTGCTAACGGTTGTTAAAAAAAATTGGAACCTGGTATAATTATTGTTGTTGCGTTGTTCCGAATTGCGATTCAGTTAGTATACTTACTACTCTTTGATTCAGTCAGCTGTAGGCTCACGGGCCAAGTGCACGTCGCGCGACCGCGCCCGCGCATCGCTGTCGCTTTCGTATTTTCGCGTTATGCTAACGTCGCTTTTAAACTGCGTACCGGTTTTTCGAAAAAAAGTGTATGTGTACAATAATTCATATAAATAAATTGCCGATTTCCTGCTTCAGTGGACTGTGGATGTATTTATGTTTTAATAATCTATGGTATATTTCGTGGATCGTTATTGTTTTGCGTTGTATTCGGTTTTCCGATGCCTACTAAAGCAATCAAGTTTGGAATGTGTGCCATCATGTGTTATTGTGAACATTAAGGACACACGTGTAATAAACACAAGTAAGTTTTTAATTGTTTTGAGCCTATCGTAAAGTTTCGTCCTACCCGAGGATTGCCGGTCTCGAACCCAAGACTGGACTTGCCATTAGTGTATTTTTGACAACAAAATTACAATTTGATTTGTTCGGAAATAAAAAAGATACTTATTTCTGATGTTTTCAGGCAACATTGTAAACATTTACTAGTTAGGAATCGCCTTCACAGTTTATGCACAATTTTTTAGCTTCATTAAACATGACATCAAAGTATTATGTGATTTAATTAGTTTGACACGTTTTATCAGTTTTCTAATAGCTGACGCCTCCAACAATAAAACGAGAAAGTCGAAATAACATTTAACGCGTATGCAAATTGGATCGTTAGTAAAGCAAGCCACTCTAGTTAAGTAAATGGTGTATCGTATCTTATACTTTTATTTTAGTTTTATATCTTAACTTACGTTATTGTATATGATTGGAATAGACGTTTTGATCATTGTAAAGTTATAAAAATAACTAAATGATCTTTTAAATATTTTTCACATACATGGTGATTCTTAACGGACGAATCATTTGTGGAGTTAGAGAACCTCAATAGCTATCGTTTAAGCGCATAGTATATTGCCCGATTTTCTATAGCTTTAAAATTATTGATTTTTTTACAAAGAAATCATTAACTTTAAGTTACTTTTAGTTACCGTCCGTTAAGAATCACCATGTATATAAGTTAGTACATAAGCAAGTGCCTTATGAATAAAAGGGGAACGCATAGTAGGAGCTAAACAGTTTATCCAAGTTTTCAACAACTACCCCCTTCCTCGCCTAAATCATATGCTGGCGACGACTATGTTGCCTACTCTTATTCAAAGATGAAGCGAACGCAAAGAAGAGGATAATAGTCAATAGACTGTCCCATACATTGACATAATGGTCCAATCTATAACAATCATATTTAATATAGAATTACTCTTTGTAATAGGCAAGTCGGTACATACAAGGTGAATGGTATCCCAGTTTTGTTATTAACAAGCTTTGCAGTAATTGGATCTAGGGATTGCACTAAACGCATTGAAAACAGCTGCAAGCGGATGTTTTATTACATGCCATGGTGGCGTTTATGTACAGCTTAACTGTTTAAGAATTGTCTTGTAAAATCCACCGATATTGCGGTCGAGGGTTCAAATCTCGCCATTTGACTATTGTCGTGAACCATATCCTAGAACAAGCCTAGAGCTTAGTAGTTGGAATGGTTAAAAAAACATTAGTAGATTAACAAACGGTCACGTAAATTTCCTTTCACGATTTTACACAAGGGTCATACGCAGTTAACAGGAATATTTTGTACGCATCATGTTAACTTTAAGGTTACGAAAAGGTTATTAAGTTATACTTTAAAATATTTATTCTATTGTTATCTTAAAATTATATTCATCAATTTTCTGTCATCGCTGTAGAGTTTTGGTTAATATTAAAAAATTGAGAACTGGTTAAATTGACGCGTCAGAAATGAATATGTCGCTTTAAAACAAATATGTGCATGAAAAACAATCGTTATTTCGTTCTTAATTGGCAGTTTGCAGATAAATCGTCGTTTTAAGTTTCAAGGTTTATGTCATTCGCTTGCATATTTATTTTTCTGTGTAACGCAATATGAAGATTTATTAAATTTTCTTTTAAATAATAAAGCTAACTTTTTAATTAGACCAAAGATAGCAATCACTATCCTTTATACTTTAACCGACCTTTAACAGGCTGCGGTCTTGTTAATTGACACGGGTAATATTTTTGGTTAAATTTTGTATTAAAAATATTGCGATCAGGTGACACACTTTTTTATCTTATCTCACTTAAATAGCAATATCTTTATTTTATAAATGTGAAAGTTTAGATGGATGGAAATTTTTTATTTTAATTTTTTCATGGATGGATGTTTGTCCGAGTTTGTTGCCTAAACAGCTGACTGGATCTTGATGATATTTGGCATAAATGTAGAACGTAGTCTGGAAAAGCTCCTAGGCTATTTCCTTTTTTTTTTTAAATTCGCGCTGACGGAGTCGCGGGCGAATTTAGAATTGAAATAAATTGCTGCTAAACTAATTCTATAATGTTCCTCTTGTCAAAACGAATAAAATTGTAACAAAATATTGATGGTGGATTGGTTAAGGTATACACTATTTTTACCGAATAAAAAGTTATACGCAAATTAAAGTAAGCTACGCAATACCAATGTGACCATAAGTTTTGGTCAAATTACGGACTGTCTTTTCTGGATTTATCTAAGAATAAAAATTACTCACATCTTCCAATATTATGGGGTAAAGATTTTCTATTTCCACTCCTTACATTGCATCAAAATCTGTCAAAAATTTGAAGTCCGGGCATTCAAATTTTACTTCCGATACTGTAACTCATAAATATCCTTTTGGGGAATAAATGTAAATCAATTACGTTTTCACCTAAAATCAAATAAAGATGTTTTCCTTTATGGCAGCCCTTCCCGCTACTGTCATCGCTTTGCGAAACGAATTCCGAATTAGTATCGCTCGAGTTCCCGCGACCTTCGTCTCAGTATCGTCGCAGAATCGAACTGTCTCGTCTGTTAACTGTAAAGTGAAACTAGTTTGCTTGTCGGCCGTCTTTAATGGGATCGGACGCGTTCCGTAGGGTTGCTCTTCCTATACTTTTTAAACAAGTGCGTAGACAAGGCCTCAAGGACCGGCTTGCCGGCCTCATTGCTCTTGTTTGTTTTGATATAACTATACTAACATCCTTATTGTATATACGATTATGGTCGTGTGTATCTGGAGTCAATATTGTACTTTTTCCTATATTTGTATTTCTTCAGAACGTTTTTACGGTAATTTCTCAAGTACCTATGTTTTAGTGGTTTTAATTTTATTTTGCACCACGATACGATATATTTTTGAAACTTAAAACGCATATTACTTGTCAGTTGTCATTTTAACCCTTGTCGGGTTTATGCAATGTCCACGTATACTTGAACTATTTCAAGACAAACTAAGTGTAGGAGACTATTGGTGTCTAAGTTGAAAATCAAATCCCTGACTTTTAGTTCAATGACGTGTTGCTAAGTTTTTACCGCTTAACTAACTATTTGAACAAAACATTATACATACACGACATGTAACAATCTGAGAGACGTTGAACTCTACGTGGCGTAAAATTAGCGCTTTTTTGTGAAATTTTCGCGATACGCGGTGATGTCTATAAATAAAAGAGATATTGTTCTCTTAACTTGCACTGCGGTTTAAAAACTTTAGTTTTTTTAAACTAATAAGGCCTTGCCTATCCCAACTAATTATAAATTTAATTTGAGATCCAGTTTTCAGCTTAGAAAATTTAAAAGGAAAAATACATAAGGATTTTATAAAGCTGTCGGTAAATTTTATTAAAATTTATTCTGTCGGTCCGAATATCGTCAGCGTCAAATATTGCTGTTTTTTTAAAGGACGTATGAATAGAGCGTCGTTCCTTTGTTTCACGCTGTTGCCATGGCA